CTTAATAGAGAGAATACGGTATGTGAAATGTCAGTATTTAATATGAATTTTTTTATGATCTCAGTATAAAATACATTCATATGCTCATACCTCTTCTAGGACAGAATCATTATTTAGAAGTTGTTCCAGACTTTCCAGCATGGGAACATAGTAAGCTTCATGCTGTCTCGGGACTGATGTCATTTTGACTCCTCGTCTTACTTTTTCATGTTTTCTACCCAATATGATGCATTTCGGTTCCTACAAAGGGGAAGTCATCAATTAGTCATTTTCATAAAATTTCAAGTAAACATTATTTTTAGATCAAGTTACTTACTACAAGATTGAAATTTTCCCTAAAATACTGCAATTGTTGTGTGCGATTTTCCAAATCTTTGAACGGGTCAGACACTACGTCCCTATCAAACAATTCTTCCAACCCAGGAACAGTTTCGGAGTCCACTCCTATCGCTTGTAAACACTCCACTGTGCCTCTTTTAAGGACATCAACACTATTTCGAACCACTTGTGTAGTTTGATCCACTACCACATCTAGACTTTGCTGAGTGAGCTTTCCTACTTCTTTTATCTTCATCAAACTTAGTGCATTATTCCTTTTGATCTGTCCATTTTGGCACTCCACATCAATTTCTGGCTCTTCAAATGGCTCAGAAAGATCTTCGTTTTCCAGTTCATTATTTTCAATATTCTCAACCCTGTTTGGAGCTTCCAAAATGGCAGAATGTTTCTTTCTCACATGGTTTCTGTAAGCATTATAGTTCCGAAATGTTCTTGTACAATCTTCTATTCCGCATACAATATGGAAATCAGGATCAGCCCGATGGCATCGGCCAATATGGTTCAAAAGACGTGTAACTGAATCTGTTTTAAACCCTTCGTCAAATGAGCAAAGATTACATTTGTACACCATCTTCGTGTTCAAAACACTGAGACAAATCCAGACCAGTGAACTATATACATATTTATGTTATATAGTTCAGTGATCCAGACCATTGAACTATAAATAAACTGGAAGGCTAACTCAGGGGGGGGAAATTGAAGCCAGTGCATTTTAGTTTTTCTGAGTTATGAGCAGAAATACTCAACACTGAACGTTGGGCTATATATCAAATTGAAGCTATTGAAAAACTCTATTTGGTGTAGAAATTTCAAGACTTTAGCTAAAAGGGAAATATTGAAAAACTACAAACATAATTACCGATAATTTGCCGTTTTGTAGTTGTTTTCATATTTTTTAAAGATTTTTCTTTTCGCTGAAGTCTTGAAATTTCCACACCGAATAGCAATTTTCAATAGCTTCAATTTGATATATAGCCCGACGTTTGGGGTCAAGTATTTCTGCTTATAACTCAGAAAAACTATTTTGGCTTCATCAAATCATAGGCCTTCATCATAGCAGTTAGCCTTCCAGTTTATTTATAGTTCAATGATCCAGACTAGTGTTGCCACTCGGATTTTTCACATTTCACTATATCAGTGGCTAAATTTTGCCGCACATTTCACTACATATGACTACATGGCAGGTTTTTGTTAGATATTGACCTGATATCGATCGCTAAATGATAACAAACCAGTAAGAGTGTCTTTTTATTAACAGAACAACAGATAATGTAACAGACCAACAAAAAATAAACAGTTTTACAATTTTGTTTTTGACCTGGCCACAAATCGGAAAAATGCTGCATTCTCCAAGTTTTTGCCTTCTTCGAATTCGATTACCCTTGCCCCAGTTCCACGTGCTGCTGGTCTTCAGAATATTCGTCCGCATCAATGTTGTTAGTTGTCGACCCAATATTTGCAAATTCAGAGTTGAATAAATTAACTAAAATAATGTAGCTCAGTGGTTAATAAATTAACTAAAATAATGTAGCTAATGTCTGGGCCCCCGGTAACTCGCGCTAATTTGTTTGTGGCACGGGGGGAACAGGTGCTATTGTTTTTCATTTTTTGTTTATGAGTACAGGAAGATGTCTAATATGTAAAAATTAATTGTTTGTTTGTCTGCCAAGTTAATATTTTCCTTAAACTTTTCAGCAAGGTTTATTTAAAATTTTCATCAGCATTTCACTACACTTCAGCAATTTCAAATTTCCTTCACTACATCACTACGCTCGGACTGATTTCACTACAAATAGTGAAATTTCACTACGAGTGGCAACGCTGAATTCCAGACGAGACAAACATAATTATTCAGCCTTTGACCTTGGAAGGTCGGAAACCACCTCGTTCCCAGGGTCTTGCGTTCTTTTTGCGTTATAACGTTAAAACGCATAATTATGATATAGCGCCGACCTTCAAAAAAGGCCAAAATAAATAAATCAGGCCAATTTTTATTCTTTAAATACTTTTTTTTTCAATAAAACTAATTTTGTTTCTGAGCACTGATAACTACTGTACTAGCTGGCAGCCCCAGGCCACAAAGCTGGTATGTCGGTTCTGGGCCACCCCTCATTTACCAACAGGGGTAGATTTTTCCCGCTTCTTTTGGCTTTCTTTTCCGGTCTGTCGGTGTTGACAATGGACGGCGAGGTAAAGTAGCATAATTTCTTATTTTTCTACGTTTTTATTACTTCTAGAAGATAAATTAACCAAGATAAACATATTTGTAATATATTTCCTTTATTTAAAAGCACTTTTTTCACTTGTATATACCAGTTTTTCGCAGACATTCTGTGTCTTGAACTGTCCTCTTTGACTTTGGAGTTCGCAAGATTATAGTTTTTTTTTCTGTCACTATGAACTATTTAATACTTGTTTTTTTCCACAGGCGGTAGAAAAAGCACTAGAAGAATCAGGGGTTAGACAGGAAACTGTCAGCTTATTAAGGGACGAAGAAGTAAATGTTAAAACAATACAAAAGTTATTGGCTTTGAGTATGTTGATAGCCAAAAAAGCTGTTTTTTAATCATACTATCTGTCTCCTATGTAGTTACTTGATGAAAAATGTTTGCGCCGTTCAATGTCGGATATCCTCAGAAGCTTGGGGCTTAAAGGCGGCCAAATTCTGGCCATAAAGAATGCCTTTCCATCCAATGAAAAGGTGAATAAAACAGATTTTTTATCAGAAAATACTCAAATATCAATACAGATTTAGTACATGCATTGAAGAGTGGAAAAAATTATGCAAACACCCACGCTAACACCGCCAGTAGTTTTAGCAGTAGCTTGAATTCATTCTATATATTTCAGACCTGAGCCATATAATAAATAAGACATACAAACATGCAGCAACTATAGTTTCGGATGAAGCATTGGTGGACGTAGTAATTTTTAAAAAATCGATGTGAAAATAATAAAGAATTGCCAGTTTCAATGACAAAATATTTAACTTCCAAAACGTCTGTTGTCCATATGATCTTGAATTTGGTACAAACTATAAGACTACTTACGTTGCGTTGATAAAACGTTTTGAAATATTTTTGACTAAATCTTTATCTATAAGCATATAAACGTCGTGTTTGAAATAAAACCATTTGAAACCATGCATTTTTTTCGCTAAAAAATATATTAAATAGACATATTAGATTACTTATTTATTACATAGACGTATTTCACAAATCATGAACCTGTGGATCTAATGGTTTACCACGGCAATTGTTCATGTCTGATCTACAGTACACGCTAAGTTCCAAGTGATTTTATTCATGCAGTAATCTTCCAATGTGTAAAATTGCTGTGCCACAAGCTGCATGGCATCACAGGTTTTACCAACCCAGGTCAACAGCCTTTGAAGGTATATAATAATAGTCTCAAGTCTCAATTATATTTTTTGTCAATTTTCATAGGATACCAGTATACAAACTCCTACCATCGAAGAGAAGAGTGAGAAAACTGAACTGCTATTACAAAAAAAGGTATTGTTCTGTTGGCTTTCTTATGCACCACTCATTTAAATTGACTCCTCTGCCGACTAATAAATAAATTTTATACCTGTTTTTAACGCACTAGGAAACAGCAATTAGTAAATCATCATTTGTAAAAACAGATATAAGAAATTCAGCTAAAGATTGGGTGCACAGCTATGTATTACCAAACATAAAATCAGTAAGTACATGACTTGAATTGTATGTTAAAAAAATAATATTATAAAGAAAAAAAAAATGTTATAAAGCTTCTTTGCACTTGAGCTTGCGTGGTTAACTTGAATTCAGAGCCAAATTAATGCTGGATTCGCTTTTTTGTCTAGTTTTCCCCTAGGGTACAGGAAGCAATCCGCAGTCAAAAAATGCTGGACAACGTGAGAAACGAGTTTCTCAGAGACGTATGTGATTCTATAAGGCAACAAACACTCTTTCCCACCAAACTAGAAAGAGAAACTGTTGCTCTTAAAATTGTTGGGGAATACCCATTTATCAAGGATGCAATTGGAAGTGGGATTGTAAGTAGCAAAGATTAATATTTAGCATAATTAGGTATACCAGTCAACTAAGCATGCTATAGCTTTTGCCATCATGCACATCCGACCGGACACAAACTGGAAACAACACAATTACACTGGAGAGGGCAAGACACGACACTTGTTACAAGACAAATAGGTTTAAAGGTTTTTGAGTCATCCATGTCATAGTTGTTTATATTTAGAGCTGCAATTATTCTTAGTGTAATTGAATAAGTCATTCCGAGTTGTTTCAAGGTTACATTATTGTTAGTTAGTTCCTGTGCATGATAGTGTGCTCCATAGCCGGGTTGATCGGTTCGAAAGGATTTAGGTATGTTGAAGTCTTGCATTGGGTGTTAGAGAATGAGAGATGAGTTTGGCTTAAATGACCTGTTTTTTTTGCTGCTGGTGTTGGGTATTGGTAGGACTGGTTTGCATGCATGTCACTGTTAAATACTATTACCGTACCCCCCCCCCTTCTCTGACATACTTAATGAATGCTCCCTTATAGGGATCTATCGAACAAGCGATTGCGTTCAGATTCAAAAATCTAAGAAAAAACAAACCAGAACATAAAGAGAAAAGTTCAAGCTCCACCTCAGACATATTAACAAAACCAGCTAAGAGACTGAAACTGGCTGGTCCAAATGCCTTACCTGACATACCTTCAGGTGAAACAGAAGATACCTTCAAGGATCACATGAAGAGGCTTCAAAAAGAGATGACCAAAACAAAAGGAAAGAACCAGCAGCTAATAAAAACTCTGATGGATGCTACTTTTGCAATGCGTCGTCGAGAAATTGTTCAAAATGCAGTGTCCATAAATGACCTTTTAAAGCGATTTCCAGCACTAACTCTTACTTCTGAGGTATATAGTAACCACAAAATGTTAAGACCAATGCTACTTGCATGCTACTTGCATGGAAAATAACTTAAACACACAATGGACCTTTCCCCTTTTAGACGAACTTTTGAATCAAGAAAATTCATTAGCACAGCTGGAAAGAGCATCATAAATTTAGTGAAACTGTGAAGTTTGGTTACAAAATATTGTAAAATGTGGAAAATACAGTCATGTAAATTTTGCGAATTTTGTATACTTTTGTATTACGCACGAAAATTAAAAGTGATAATAAAATTTCGAATGTGATTATCACTTTGTCGCGCGTAATACAAAAGTATACAAAATTCGCAAATTTCACATGACTGTATTTTCCACATTTTACAATATTTTGTAACCAAACTTCGCAATTATACTAAATTTATGATGCTCTAATTTCCAACTGTACTAATAAATTTTCCTAATTCAAAAGTTTGTCTAAAAGGGGAAAGCTAGGTCCATTGACCCACCGTTTCTTTTATTAGCTTAAGCGAGAATTTGGTCGAATATCACAAGTAAGATGTAAAGATGCGATGGATAAACTAAGATCACTGGCACCAAACATTGTTGAGTATGGCCAGCAAATACCAGCAGTGAAAAACCTAATCTCAAATCTCTCTACAATGGATGAAGATAGTAAACCAGAAAGTATGTATTCTCACAGCAAAATTATTTGTATGCTTTTACTAATTCCACAATTAACATTTCAGTTGTGTCTAATATATTCTACACGTACAGATTAAACACCAGACGATCTTATTTATCATTAGGTAGAACTCCTGGAAGTTCAGGGGTGAACACAGATTAAAATTCAGGATCCTTTAAGTAGCCTATACTGCTTTCATTTAGCCTAATATAAACTTCCAGGGGTTCTCACTTGACGATTAACAAAGCTTGGTTTTTTGCCGATGCTCAACGGGCCATTCAATTGAATAACAACACATCACCTGGTCACAGAATGGACAATAATAGCAGAAGAATCACTTTTGTCGCAACCTTTGATATTTTTGTCCTCAAAAATGTAACTCGCTGACGCCAAAGCCCTAAGGCTTCGATAGGTACAAAGTACTGGTTGTACTACCCAGGATGGTGAAGGATGCCGTGAATTTAACTTGCTGACGTCAATTTACGCCATCCTGGCTAGTACAATCGGAGGTTTTGATAGGTAAAAAGTGCCAGTTGTACTTGCCAGGATGGCGTAAATTGGCGTCAGCAATCACCATTGAACTATAAATAAACTGGAAGGCTAACTCCTATGATGAAGGCCTATGATTGGTTGAAGCCCAGTAAACCCGCGCGCGGGAAAATCAAATTTCAAAAGGACTAAGGAGAGTTTCGAGGAGTGAAAAAGTTTCGGTCAAAAGTTTGTTTTCGAGCAGAAATGTGCAAGAAAAACACTTTTTCCATGGGAATACAACGATAATTAGATTTCAAACCAGGTTTTCCGATTAGTTCCAACTGTTTTACATCTCTCTGCAGCAAAAAGTAAGGAGTTTTGCTTTTGTACTATAAAAAAATTAAGAAAGTTTGGACGTGTCGAAAGAAAACTCGTTCTTCAACTCAAAAAAAATATACTATAAAACATTTTGACAGTCCCAAAAATTATGCTGTACTAAACCCCAGGTATTGTTATTGATCCTAAGGTTTTAGTCCTGGTTTTATTCCTTCTAAAACATAAATAAATTGGCGAAAAACCAACCTAAAACGCGCGGGTTTTCTGACCGTTTATGCTTATGATCGTGTTTTCTCGTATTTTTTTGCTAATTCGTGATTTGTTTGATTTGCGAATATTAAATTTGTTTATCATACTACTGATATAAATTTAATTTGGTGGTGTAACTAATATTTTGGGGCAAGATTTTTCTGATAAAAAATGTGCATATTTTGAGAAAAAAAAAAAAAAAGACTGGGGCTACCTGCAAAGTAAACAAAAAGTTTTCTTCAATCCCCCCCCCCTGACTTATCGTTCCAGATTATATAGAGTTCTCTGGCAATCACGCGTGCGCGTTGAGAAATCGCGAACTGAGTTTTGCTGAAGTGAGACTTCTGCATGGTATTACTTAATTGTGTGACCTGGTGGAGGACAATGTCTTAGGGGTCTTTTAAATCACATTTCTGAGAGGGGGTAGGTGTGTATATTATTAGGTACAGCCTTAAGAATTATACTGTAGAATTTTTCAAAAATACCAAATGATACGTACCGGTTTAGAGTAGACATTAGATGGAAATTAATGAGCGTGGGTTAAGCTTATTGTCCCTATTGGAACCATGTTGGTTATTTGAGCAGCAGGTAGTACCCCAATTCCCCAATATTTTAGTAAATACTGAATTCAAGCTGATTTTAAACAATTTTAGATTTAAATGAAACTATTGCTATACTGGTGCTGGCCAGGGTGCTAAAAGATAAAAGAGATGACATGTTTCTCAAGGTTGTTGATGTAAGTTTTCAGACCTGGATGTTATTGGCATAAATTTTGTTCCAATAGTAATTGGCTTGGTATGCCCAATGAGGTTGATCCAAAATGAATATTATCAAGTGATAATTATATCTGCGCGTCATGTGTTGCAATTTTGATTTCAGACTTGATGAACATTGAATAAATTCTGGGGTCCGATGAACACAGGAATTGTGGCTCCAAATTACAATAAAAAAGAGTTTTGAGTGTTTAATCTTTTACATGCAAAATACATAATAGGCAATATTTTTTCAACTTTAGGAAAATGATGACATCGACAAAGTCATTGCAGAAACAACCGCACCAAGAATTGTCGCTGGGGAAAATCGGCCTTTACCAGATCCAATATATATTGTAATGGATGGTATGATTGTCACTGGGCCAATAAAAAGTTGTTTACTGGATGCCACCATAATTCTACTTGCTGTTTATTACACATTCAACGTCCAATACCCAACACCTTGCAATGTGTATCCATTTTTTGAATTTTGCCTGTTTGGCAATAACAATGCAATAAAGAACAAGGTCGTGATAAACAAAATTCTAAGTTTTATAAAGCCATAGAACATGTGATTTTTTCTGCATGCATCTGTATATTTATATATACACAAACCTAAAATGTTAAAGGTTAACCAGGAAACAGTAAATGTTCTTATTCTTTGTATCGTTCTCAAAAAATTTTGGAGTTGAATTTACTTCACAACTAGAGTGAAAGTAACTCTCTTCTTGGGAGTTAAACTAACTCTTAAATTACCGGAGTTAAAACGACTCTGGATTTGGAGTCATTCTGTCACCATTGATTCAACTCTATTTCCGGAGTTGAATTTACTCCACAACTAGAGTAAAAGTAACTCTCTTCTTGGGAGTTAAACTAACTCTTAAATTACCGGAGTTAAAACGACTCTGGATTTGGAGTCATTCTGTCACCATTGATTCAACTCTATTTCCGGAGTTGAATTTACTCCACAACTAGAGTAAAAGTAACTCTCTTCTTGGGAGTTAAACTAACTCTTAAATTACCGGAGTTAAAACGACTCTGGATTTGGAGTCATTCTGTCACCATTGATTCAACTCTATTTCCGGAGTTGAATTTACTCCACAACTAGAGTAAAAGTAACTCTCTTCTTGGGAGTTAAACTAACTCTTAAATTACCGGAGTTAAAACGACTCTGGATTTGGAGTCATTCTGTCACCATTGATTCAACTCTATTTCCGGAGTTGAATTTACTCCACAACTAGAGTAAAAGTAACTCTCTTCTTGGGAGTTAAACTAACTCTTAAATTACCGGAGTTAAAACGACTCTGGATTTGGAGTCATTCTGTCACCATTGATTCAACTCTATTTCCGGAGTTGAATTTACTCCACAACTAGAGTAAAAGTAACTCTCTTCTTGGAGGAGTTAAAGTAACTCTTAAATTATCGGAGTTAAAACGACTCTGGATTTGGAGTCATTCTGTCACCGTTGATTCAACTCCATTTTTGGAGTTGAATTTACTCCTTAAAATTTACTGTGTATATATATATATATATATATAATATATATATATATATATATATATATAATATATATATATATATATATATATA